ATTTGACTCTCGCCTTCTACTTTTACCAAGCTGTGAGACCTTCCACACTCTGCTAAATTTTCCTATACATCAGTTTCCCCATCTCTAAAACAAGAATAATAATGGTAACCAACTTCATAGGGCTCTTGTCATATTAAATATTTAAAACAATATCTGTACATGCCGTATGCTCAATAAGTATTTAATATTGACTATTATTATTATTACTAGCAGTAGAAATACTTGCCTTTCGTGACTATTATCATTATTATTTGTCAGGCACTATGCTAGGTCTGGCTAAAAACCTTGAACTAAAAAAGAAAATTCTACCAAACTCATACAGCCAAGAAAAATTGCTTTGCAGTCTCCTTATTTAATATATCTGATATCTTGGCCTAGGATAACCTTTTCTGCTTTCAAATCATGATCTGCTCCTAGGCAACTCTTCTCCATACTGATTCTGTATGAATCTAGTCCATTCAAATCTCTCTCTGTCTCTCTCTCTCTCTCTCTCTCTCTCTCTCACACACACACACACACACACACACACACACGTACGTGCATGTAATTGATTAGGCAAATTTATTTGTATCATGTGAACCAATATGAAAATATTTGATTTTGCTAACTACAGGAACTTGAATCCCAACAAAAGCATCTATACCAATGTTCTTTATGCAGCTGGTGGTCAATCATCACTGACAGGTAGGAGGTTCTATAAAACCACTTAGCCCATTCCATGGTCAGTTACCACGAGAACAAGAATATTTTTAGCATCATGTTTGAATCCTACCTGACAAATTAGAAACTGCAATAATTTGAACCTTCACAGGCAATTAAAATGCTTTTTATTGTCGCCTCACCAGAAATCTTATGTAATAGTTATTGATATTCTGTGATTAATCACTAAGAAGGAAAGCACGGGGCACTCATTCTCTTCCTTCATCTCTTTGCTATTCTCAGCTTTTTTGTTATTGTTTTTGTTTTTTTTTTGTCACAAGCTGTGTATGTCAATATTTATTTTAATTAGGAAGAGTTAATATAGGCAAAGATAATTTGTAATAGGTATGTTCAGTAAAGAACCAAATTGCACAGCAAGATCTCCTGCTAGTGACAAAAATAGCTTCACAAAGGCATGTAATTTCGTTTGCCTAACCATTTACTTCCTGGGACAAGCTCGTGGATGCCCACATCCCATCCCCATACTATTGGTGAGTCTTGTTTTCAGTGAAAGTTAGTTGGAAGCCATCTTCCATCTTGGGCGGGCAGCTCTTTCACCACTAGGATCTCATGTTGGGGTCCTGCACAGAGACCTAATTCTTATAGGATTCAATGATAATTCAAATTACAGACAAAGAAAATAATATGTTTAACATGTGTTCTCTTCTATCAATATTTTTCAAAACAAATTTGGATTCTATAGGTGTTTTTAAAACTAGTTAATTAGGGGATGAAGAATTCACACATGGAGGGTAAAACCATGATGGGCATGATGATAATAATGATGATTATTGCTATTTTATAGCTAATATTTCCTAAACAATTATTTTTACTAGGCCATATGACAAATACTGAAAATATATTATTTGCTTTAATCTTCACAATAACTGTGAGAGGTTGGAATTTGTGCCCCATTTTACATATGAGAAAACTGAGGCTTAGAGAAGTTAAATAACTCTTCCAAGTTCACACAACTGACAAGACTCAAGGCTGAGATTCCAGCCCAGGCCTGTCAGAAACCAAAGCCCACTGACATTATAAATCATACATTTTATTATAACAAATTCTTTTTTGTAACCTATTTTTTTTTTTTTTCCTAAAAAGAAAAAGCTTTAATGGACTTACAGTTCCATGTGGCTGAGGAGGCCTCACAATCATGGTGGAAGGCAAGGAGGAGCAAGTCATGTCTTACGTGGGTGGCAGCAAGCAAAGAGAGAGAGCTCATGCAGAGAAATTCCCATTTCTAAAACCATCAGATCTCATGAGACTTATTCACTTTCAGGAGAACAGCACGGGAAAGAACCACCCCCATGATTCAATTACCTCCCACTGGGTTCCTCCCATAAAACATAGTAATTGTGGGAGTTACAATTCAAGATGAGACCCATTTTTAACTGCAATTTATCCAAAATTAGATTTAAGCTTGATTTTATTATCAGTGGTCTACCACAGTAAGTCTATACATTTCCATAATAAACAATTAAGTTCCCTGTTTAAAAAGTGGGAAAAGGACATAAATGGCCAAATGAATAAATGAAGCAGATTAAATTTCAGATGTTCAAAACTAAAGGAAATTCCATTCAATTCAAGAATCAGTGACCAAGAGATGTGGTGTACAAGGCACTGTAAGAACTCAGAAGATAGTATCACCTCTGCCCCCAGGAAGTTAATGATCTAATGGGAAAAATACAGTATAATGTTTCAGGTCTTACTTCAAATGTCACCTCTTTAGAGAAGTCTTCCGTCTTCTCTGACCATACTGTCTAAGCTGTGACCCCATTCCCTGTCACTCTCTGTTACAGGGACCAGCAAACCTTTTATGTAAAGGGCGAGATAATAATTAAGTTGGGCTTTGTAGGGCATATAGTCTCTGTCAAAATTACCCAACTCTGCTTTTACAGTGTGAAGGCAACTATAGATCATACGTAAATGAATGAACAAAGCTGTGTCCAATAAAACTTTATTTATAAAACAGGGAGTTGCCAGATATAGCTCACAGGCTATGGTTTGCTGACCCTAACATATCACTCTGTTTTCTTCCTTCATAGCACTTAACAAAACCTAAAATTATCTTGTTTATTGAATTGTTTACTGTCTATTTCCTGCCACAAAAATAGTAGCTCTAGGAGAGTGGAATCTTTGTTGCTGGTTCACAGCCAGCTCCTCAGTGCACAGGACAGAGTTTCCAACACAGAAGTTCATTCTAAACATCTGTCAATTCACTAAATGAATAAATACCATTTTGCAAAAGGAGAAACACAATCACCAACCAACACAAGAATGATATTTGGCCTTATTAATAATAAAAACACAATAATGACATACTATTTTTCACTTGACAGGCTTTCAACCATTAGAAGAGGAGGAGGGAGAGGAGGAGGAAGAAAACTAGTGTAGATGGGCTGGGCACAGTGGCTCACACCTGTAATCCCAGCACTTTGGGAGGCTGAGCTGGGTGAATCACTTGAGGTCAGAAGTTCTAGACCAGCCTGGCCAACATGGTAAAATCCTGTCTCTACTTAAAAAAAAAAAAAAAAAAAAAAATTAGCCAGGTGTGGTGGCGCCTGCCTATAGTCCCAGCTACTCGGGAGGCCGACGCAGGAGAATCACTTGAACTTGGCAGGTAGAGGTTGCAGTGAGCCAAGATCATGCCACAGCACTCCAGCCTGAGTGACAGAGCAAGACATCTCAAGAGAAAAAAAAAATCGAAACAGAAAACTAGTAGGGATGAATATGTGGGTAAATGGTCCTCTCATCTACTATTGATAGAAATGTTGGTGCAACATTTCTGGAGGTCCATTTGCCGTAATATATCAAAATGTATATATCAATTTTAAATGGGCAAAGAATTGAAGATTTATTTATGTAAAGAAGATACACAAATGGTCAAGCCCATGAAAAGACGCTCAACATCATTAGTCATTAAGGAAAATCAAAATCACAAGAAGATACCACTTCACACCCTCTAGGATGCCTACTATTAAACTAACAAAAAAAAAGCAGAAAATAAAAAGTGTTGGAGAGAATGTGGAGAAATTGGAGCTTTATGCATTGTTGGTAGTAGTATAAAATTGTACAGCTGCTCAGGAAAGCTATTTGGAAGTGCTCTGAAAGGTTAAACAGAATTACCATATGATCCAGCAATTGCACTCCTAGGTACATGCGCTAAAGATTTGAAATCAAGGCTTCAGATTTGTACACTAATGTTCATAGCAACATTACTTACGATATTCAAAAGGTGGAAACAACCCAAATATCCTTTAACAGGCAAATCCATGAAGAAAAGTGGTATATACATATAATGGAATATTATTCAATCTTAAGAAGGAATAAAATACTAATACATGTTACAACACAGGTAACTTTGAAAACATTATGCTAAATGAAGTAAGCCAGACACAAAAGGACAAATATTGTATGATTCTAATATGAGGTATCTAGAATAGATAAATTCGTAGAGACAGAAAATAGAATAGAGGTTACCAGGAGCTAGGGTGGTAGGAGAGGAGGAATTGAGCAGTTACTGTTTAATGGATATAAAGTTTTTATTTGGAATGATGAAAAAGTTCTGGACGGTGCTGGATAGTGGTGATGGTTGTACAACATTGTGAATATACTTAAGGGCACTGAACTGTACACTTAAAATGGTTAAAACTATAAATTTTATATTATATATATTTTATAATAAAAATGTATATATACTTTCTTACTTCAAATCCAATCCCTAAGAATTAACTTTGAAGAGGTAGCACAGAAGAGTGAAATACGTGTATACTAGGATCAATCAACCACAGGACCTATCAAGAAAGATCTAGCTATGTAAATGGCACCTGATACAACAAATACATAACAGAAACCATTATGCAGGTATTACATATGACAAAGTAGACTTTTCCTGTAAAAAATTATCCATGAAATTATTATTCAATTAAAAAAGTAAGTGATGAATGCATGTAAAGAATGAGACCATTGATATAAAAATTCTAAAGTTTATCTGTACATAGGGAAAATTCTAGATATACTCTAAATGTTAATAGGGGTTATTTTATGAATGGTAGATTTGAGGTGACTTAAAAAATATCCTCTTTATAGTTCTTTGTATTAGTTGAATGGTTTTTGAACACAGAATATTTTAACCAAAATAACATGCTATTGTAAACTCATGTTTGTCACTTTTTCACATTAATAAGGAAGGTTAGGCCCTTCGTACTTACAATCAGATGGTTTCTGTATTTCCATTTCCATAGCAATAATAGTATTTGTGAGTGGATTAGATACAATTTTAAAGAGGAAGTACATACCTCAGATAGCGGTGTTGACTCTTTATCATTCAAAAACAGAGATGCTATTTCAGAACAACACTCAATAATCATGTCCTAGAAATAAGAAGATAGTAATATATTGAGGTTGACATTATTAGAAACCTAAATATTCGCTATTTAATTATAAACTATTTCATATGTCTTTTTTTAATCATCACCTAACATTTGTTCCCAGGAAAAGACAGGGCTCAGAAGTCATAATCCCTTCAGTAATTAGGCTCTTTTGAATTGTATCTAATTGTACAAAATAAAATTTTGAAAATAATTATTTTACTAAATAAGGTTTTGAAAAATTACTTTTCTTCTGAGAAGAGAGCCCTGGAATAAAGCGTTTCAGATCCCTGAAAGGGGCTGCAGCAGAGAACAATGACTGGGAATTATGGAAGACAGGGGAAGAGTGAGTGAAAAGGAAGGGAGAGACTCAGCAGCATGATGACACTGCCCTCAGCCCTACTGTAATGGACACAGCCATGTTCATGTGTGGACACCCAATCCACAAGGGACCTACCCGTAGACAGGCTGAATCTGTTAGATTCCCTATCATATGTTTTCATGTAAAAAAGAACAACAGAGGAGACCTACAAGTCAGTATCAACTGCATGAGTTGAAAGGTCCAGATGCGGAGTTGGAGAAGGCAGCCATTAGACCAGATGGGGAGAAGCTAGAGGAGATGGAGAAGAGTGAGAACTCACGCCCCTTACAGGACTGAACACAGTCTTGGCTCCTGATCTGTCAGTTTAAATTTCTGTGAGGCCACCATTTCGGATTCCAGTCTTTGTCTATACATGACCATACATGTCATCCTGACAAATACCACCTCCCTACCAAACCTAATTTACTTGAGTTAGTGTAAGTAGCTCTTTCCTCACTTACAACTGAAGAAGTCATGACTACATAATTGTCCGAGATTAACTTTGCCTACTTCACAATGCTGCCAGTGTCTGGCCCTGAAAGAAACAAAAATTTGCTTTTTTGGTAGTATTAATATATATGCATTTACCAGCATTTAGAATAGTAAAATGATAAAAGTACATTAATTTTTAAACAACTGAGCAATACTGGTTAAAACCTTGAAATAAAAAAGCAAACAACTGAACTCAAAGCCCCCAAACTCCATTACATCTAAGTTTAAACAAATGCCAAACAAGGAAAAGACCAAATTTCAGGGTTCCAAAACCATAGATAATTCAATTCAATTTAACAGATATATTCAAGACATTATATTAGGTGCTGTGGAACACAGACTCTCGCCTCCCAATATTTCCAATTACAATCAGAAAAATAGATTCATAGACAACTAAATAAAACCCCAAGCAGAATGTGCTCAGAACACAGGTAGTTATGACATGTTCTAGGATCCTAGATGTGGAAGAGAATAATTTTTAGTACTATAAACATGGAAGACTTCCTGGAGGAAGGGTCGTAGGAACTAAGCCTTGAAAAAACAGTACAATTTCAACTGGTAGAGACTGGGGACTAGTGCACTGTGGGGTGGGTGGGGTTGGGGGAGCCATACATAAGCAATGAGCAGGGGGCATTCAAGGAACACAGGAATTTGATGATATGGTGAAATCATCTTCACTGCAGGTATGTATAGGAAGCATGGCAGTGAGAGTTCTCACTGGAGAGATAAATTTTTAACAGGTCATGTAAAAGTAAGGAATTTGGATTTTATTTTATAGAGAATAGAGCAGGACTGGGCTGAGGGAACAGTGGTAGAAATAGCTTTGAAAAGATAATTTGTCCACAGTTTAAAAGTGAACTGCACTGGAAAGAGACAGAGAAATCAGCTAGGATGCTACTCAAACAGTTTGGGTATGAAGTGATGATGGCTAGAAGTGGGCCAGCTTCTATGGGTTTAAAAATGATGGAGGACAGGCAGGCTACCCAGTCCTAGTCAGGGTCTACCAGTGTCCTGCGCTGATCTTGCCAGGCCCCTGGTCCACTTTGCCAGATACAGGGGAACACACATCCACTCCTATATACCCTTTATTTATCTGTATTTCCAATTGAGTGCTTAGGACTGGTTAAGGTATGCTTTCTGTCTAAGTAAAAGATTTCAACAGCATCATGGGTTATTGTAAGGATTTCATCAAGAGCCATCAAACTAAATGACACTGCCTATGTCATGAATCATCTCACATCACAGACGAAGGGAGCAATGCTGCCTAAAAAACGCCTTTCCCTGCTTCAGCTCAACATGTTTTCAAACAGAAATTTTGCTTCAATGACATCCTTTTACTCTGACATTACTTGAGGTAAACCACATACAGATGTTCTGAAATTGGCTGACTTGAGGTTGTGGCTGTGAGTTCCCTGCGTGACCTTGTTACCACCGAGATGAAGAAGGGGAAGGCACAGAGCTCGCCAGTCCCAGCCAGAAAGCAGTTGGATGCAAGTGCTGAGGTGCTGGGAGGGCACGGAATGACCCTTGCTCAATCATTGCCATTTCTCTGTTAAAAAGAACATCTGCTATTTCTATGAGCCATGGCCCTCTCAGTGACTTCAAGATATTATAGCCAATTCTTAGATTTAGTTGAAATCCTTATTCTCCTTCATCTATAATATGGAGTGGGGTGGCAGGGGGAATTCCTAAGTTGCTTTCCAGCCTCCAAACTCTTGTTTCCCTCATTTCTCCTTCACATGCCACCATCACTATTTTAGCAAATCACAGGGTGAATCATGACCTGCCCTTCCAGGTAAGGTGCTGCCCCCAGACCCAGTCCTGCTTTCCCACAGCCCTCTCTTACAGAACAAAATCCTTTCACCATTTATGCATTCAACACCAATCAAATGCCTCCTTTAGGCCACAAAGCAGGAGTAGGGGATGAATGAAACACAGAGAGCCCAGAAGGAGCTCATGTTCTAGTGAGGGCAATTGGAGAACCAGACTCCTACAGCACTTGGTGGTGAGATCAGAGCAGAAGAAGCGCATAATTCCACCCAGCCTTCCGGCGCCATCTCCCACTACATTTACCCTGCACTTCTGCCACAACAGATGTCCTACTGTTCCCTGAATATGAGACTTAGTTCCATGACTTCATATCTCCTCTCTTGCTGTATCCGCAGTCTGGAATGAGTTTTCTCCACAGGTCTCCAACTAGAAGTTTCACAAACAACTATTAGGGAGGCACTAAGGTTCAGTTACTGGGCTAGATATTGAAGATATGGTGATGAATAAGCCCTCTGAGCAAAGGAGTTTGCAGTCGAGAGAGAAAGAGACAGGTTATCAGCTAATTGCCTAAACAATACAGGATACTTGGGGATGTACGGAAACATGGCCTTTCTGTCAGTCCAGAAGTGCTAAAAAATTCTGTCTGAGCTATTTAAGCAAGTTCAAAGTCTAGCTCAGCTTTCTCTCTCAGCACATACGTACAAAGACACACACACACACACACACACACACAATCTATGTAAATGAGACTTTAAATACAATCAGAAGAGTTCGCATCAATAACCCCACTGCTGAGAAGGAAGATTCTACAATTCTACCCTTCTAAATAGTGCAGAATGCAGATAATGGAGAAATAGGAAAACTGGAAGAAGTCAGAGGTACTAAGTTGAACTACATAAATTACTGAGCCAGAGTGGGAAGGAGAAAAGAAACAAAAATCTCTGTTCAGAGTTGGAGAGAAAGGTGTAGGAATTTGAGCCAAATGAGACAGATGTTAGAGAGCTGCTATGGACGCCAGAAAGCTGTGAGAGCAAGACAGCTGGGGAAAGGAGGACTTACAGAAACTTTTCCGTGTATTCTAAAGGATTCCCCCTGGAATATTCCTATAAGAGACTGTAAAGATTTAGATTATTTTCAATGGTTTTGAACATCAGACTGATTGCCACACTTTGCTAAGACAGAGCTACTGGGTGGCTGGCTCATTAGGAACAACAGCCACACTTTGCTAAGACAGAGCTACTCACCTCCTCAGGCCTGGAAATAGTTTGCACATAATAGTTCCTGAAAAAGAATTTGTTAATTGATGCTGATTTCCAATTGTATCTTGCTCTGTGTTCTAACAGTACTTTAATATTTGGGATATACTGCCTATATGTTTATTTTAATTGTCTTACAACCCAGGCACTTCACAAATGTTTGCTGAACTAACCTTAGGTGACTTGGCAAGCATATTTTAAACTTTTCATGTCAGTATGCTATCATTCCAAATAAAGTGTCTGCATCTTAAAATCAGGATGCTTTGCATTTTTCATGTGCTTCAGAACACCTGACAGCTTCTGAACACTCCCATTTAACAGTGAATGACAGATTAAAATAACTCAGCCATTTGGAGCCAGTGTTGTTCATTTTAGAAAAAAGGACACACAAGGTTTTCAAGCCAAAAGTGATTGAAACACCTGTTCTGTAGCCCTCTCAATACATGTTAAATTAATATATGTGTTCTGAAGTTCTTGGCTTATTCTGGACCCTAGGGTTTTGGGGGTGGGGGAAGGAAATAAAGAAAGGAGTGAGAAGGAGAACAAGATTCACTACCTTCTCTCCATATCAACCAAAGACACATTTTCTGCACCCTTATATTCAATCACCCACCGACAATCTATAATGTAATAGAAATAAATATATTAGATTATGAAAGCTCTGAAATCCTGTCCAATTCCAGACCAGAATTGATCTCTTTAGAAGTGTCCTAGTTAACTTCTAATTAGCTCCAAGTGAAGGTTGTCATGACAACAAACTAGCAGATTTAGTCAATGGAAGTTATTTGATATAACCCAGAATTGAGCCTTTTTAAAAATAAAGTGCTCATTAGTATTGTGGAAAAAAGAAAAAAAATTATGTAATTTCATTTCTCAACTTTCAAACGCTGTGAGCTAATTTGCTTGCCAATTCACCTAAACAAATATTAGTGTTCCTTCTCCCTGGTGACATTCTTCATATATAGAACTAACAGAGACAGAAAACACCTAAAATGCCCCACATTAAAGCTGAAGAAACACTTTCTAAGTTGGAGAATAAAACAAATTCAAAAACATGAAGAAGAACATCAAGAGTGAAAAGTGTTTGTTCTACTCAAGGGTTGACCCACGCACACCCACCATTCCAGTCAGAACAGGAAAGCAAGCCATAAGCCTTTCCTAAGGCAATGTAGGGCCTCAGACTCCGCCTACCTTCAAACACCGCCACACCCTCATCCTCATTTATTTCTTATTTGTTTAGATTTAATGCCGGGTTAATTGTGATGAATTCGATATCTACATCTGCCCACCACAGGTGTTTTGGTGACTCCCAGTCCACCCAAAGAGCCCATCTCTCCATCTCAGAGCAGCATTTGAATGAAAAGATCATTTTGGAGTTGAGAGGAAAATTAGCTCCAGGAAAATCTGAGAGACGGACCTTCAGTAGTAAAGCTGAGTGGCAGAGAGTACAATCCAGAATCCTTACTCTAATAGAAGCTCATTCTCCTGCCTCAGGCAATCTAAGCTGAAAATGGGCTCACAGGAAAATAATAATTTTCCATATATGAACTATATGGTAGTGAATTTAGGGAGGATTTCAGCAAAGAATATTCTAGACCATGGCTCAAAAACAGCAAGATGGTAAATTTGGTCTTTGGCTTAAAAACTGTCATTGTAGCTATTCTACAAAAGGAGTAGGAAAATAGAGAGCCGAATTCTTTTTGGAAATATACATGAAAGGGCAATCATGCACTTTATAAAAGAAATCTGTAGCTATATCTATAGCTATAAAACCTCCCAAGTTTGGGATAGTTTGAGCTATCAGGTCTATTGAGGGATTTCTTATAAGCACACAGGACGTCATTAAGTATCATAATTCATGTTGCAACGTTTGAGGACACCAAAAAGGATGTGCAACCAAATTTCTAAGACATCTGCTCCGTGATATACCCAGGCACAGAGCACAGAAGACATAAATGCTGGAAAGCAGCATTTTGCAAAGGCTAGCTGTACTTGCCCAGTAGATTCTCTTAGTTAGGCTTGCTGCTTTTATAATAATGAAAATTCCATTCATTCCTTATACTGGTGAATTCAGACTAAAAAGGCTAACAACTATCTTCTAAAAATTAGAAAAATTGCTAACTTTTACACTTTCACATAATGAAACCATATAGATGAAGTAAACAAGAAAACAAAGCCAAACTAATAATATTCTTTCAGAATTAAAAATGTTTTGTTATTGATGACCAATTAAATATTCCTAACAGAAAATGATTTAAGTAAAAAAGATATACTAGACCAAAAATAAAGGGAAGACCCTAAAAGCGGGAGAGATGGGTGGAATTAAGTGTTTCCTCTACTCTGATCTCAGCAGAGTGAGGCAAGAGTCTGCCTCTCCTATTGCTCTCACTAGACCATAAGCTCCTAAGGGTCCTCTCTGTGTCTTGCTCATCACCAATTCCCACTCCATGGCAAGTAGGAGGCATTCAACAGATGTTGAATGAAGAAATGGTGAATAAACTTTGTTTTGTGGGCAAGAGTTGTGGAAAAGTGATGCTAGGGACTCAAGTAGCTGAGAATTCAACCCAAAAAGTGGTACAAGGAAAGCCCAGAAGCAGAGCTATGCAGCAGGCATGAGAGCAGTCAGTCTTCAACTGGAGCAGAAGAGTAGGAGGCTCCAGGAGGGAAAGGGGTTTGAGACGTTATTTGATAAGTATGAATACTTGAGTAAAAATCTATGGATGAACATATGAAAGTTCTGATGTAATGACTGAGAAAACATTAAGAATAAAAGACAAGGAAAGAAAAAACATTAAGAATAAAATACAAGTCAAGAAAGAAAAATAACTATAGTATATCACTTGACTCAGCTGTGAACATCATTTACAGGGTCGTAACACTGAACATTGATTTCATTAAATTTTGTGATGTAACAATATGTAGAAGAAAAGGGAAAAGAAGAAGTTGGGGAGAAGTGTAAATGAGCTAAATCCATATATATCAGACAGGAAATCAATACATATTGTCTAAAATTGATACCTCCAGAAAAAAACAATAATTTCTGGCTTTCAGCATGATTCATCATTTTGTCTGGCTTTCTGTCTTCCAAATCGGGGCAGAATTGTTGGTACAGCATAGAAATTATTTGGCTAATGAGCTGTTAGTGGAAGTGATATGATGGAAGTTTTATGAGCCAATGTGTGATGTGTCCCTTCTTTCCCCTCTGCCACAGTGACTGGTGATATTCCATGATGAATGTTCCACTCACCTAGATGCTGGCATGAGGAGGCATGAAGCAGGCCCCCAGTTGACTCACTCAGATTTGGAGGCTTTTCGTTACCCCATTTTTCATGACTGACACTGAATATTATTTGTAGATGTGAAAGCAAATAACAAAAGCAGGAGCTAAAAGAGTGGAAAGTGGTTGCCTTTGCAGAGCAGAATTGTGGAGTGAGGAGAGGTTGGGCAGGCAGCAGACTGCCTTTTTTCATTTTAAGCCTTTTAGATATTTTTTTTTAAACAGCTACACTAAATACAGAATATCTCTCTCAAGAAATTAAGGTACAAATGGAAATTTAAGGAACAGATAATTAGGGGAGAACACATATTCCCTTCCCTTCTCATTTCCATAAAGAATAAGGAATTTCCAAAAAAAAAAAGAATAAGGAATTTCCATGTCTCTCCCAAAGAACCCAGGACACTTCCAGCTTCTTTTAGATCATTTTACCCCCAAAAGAGTAGAGTGACTTATCTCATCCATGAGTTTGGGAAAAGCACCAGAGCATGCTAGGCTCAGCCCCTTAGGGGCAATCTTTATTTATACTTTTTGGATGCACTCTACCTGCAGAACGATTATTCTCTGCTCTCCATGCAGTAAGCTTGAGGGGGGGAGAAGGGAAATGGGGGAACCCTGTGGTTACATGGATGTGCCAGATGACTGCATGACTAGGTAGGTAAGTCTGGCTAATTCAGGGGTAAAATATTAATGTGCTCATTTGGCCACAGACCTAAAGCCAAATTCGCTACTCAGCTTTATCAGTAATGACGCTGACATTTCTGCTTCCATTTAACTGTCTGCTGTGCCCCAGGAGAACTCAGAACTCAGGATGGGAGAAAAAACTCCCCTCTCCTCCAAAACACAAATATCAGTCATCAGAAAAACAACTCAGCTGTCTGATCAGACTTAATAGCACACTATACAAATAGCCTTTTTTTGTTAGAAAAATATATATGCATATAAAAGGTCTGAAAAAATATGCCTACCTATATTTTCTGGTTTCTCTTCACACACTATTTGGATAATAAAAATGCTTAAATAATAGATTTAGAGTGAAAAAAGATAAAGTAATATTGCAAAGTCACAAAGCATTATCACTTGGGATTCACAGTTACAGCTGAATGATTTATCTGGATTGGTTTGTATTCATTCACCACCAAATTCTTGTAATTCATATGCTTAGAAGACCTTCAGACATTCAGGAGGCATACAATATACAGGTCAAAAAAGTTGAGTCATGTTTTGCACTCTGAATAAATTAGAGGCAGAAGAACCATAGAGTTCAAGTCGAGTTACACAGTTCTGCTTTGAGGATATAAAAGATAATCTATAGCAACGTCATTTTCCATTATTTAACAACTTACTTCCATTTCATTATCAATTGATTCCTCTTCCACGTCTCCTATGTCATATACGTTTTCATTTGAGGTAATTTCAGGAGCTGCTGGCAATGATATTTCAGCTATTTGTACAAGATTAGATAATTTCTCATGAATTGCAATAACCCTGAAAATAACAAATATATGTGTATTTTATTTTGAAGAGTTAAGAAAAGCATTTGTTTATTTGTAGAATCAATAACTTGTATAAAGTAAACCCTCAGTTATTTGACTATTAGGCTTCTAACATGGCCAAGCATCATTCATTCAGTCATTCCCTTCATTCAAGAAACATCAGCAAAAAGACGGAGTCTTAACTTTCATAATGTTTATGGTCTTGTTATACACTCAGATAAAAAATAATTGAAATTGCAAAATCACAATGAAGAAAGACACACATTTAAAAAATTTGCTGAAGATGAAAATAAAGAAAATAATTATCTATGTAGGGAAACAAAATCTAGGCAGGAACAAAATATTTACTTCTATGGACATCTTAATGCCATGCTCTGTCTGGCTGACCTGCAGGTAAGAATTATGACATGTTAGCAATGACTCTAAAAGGCCAATCAAGGGACCCATAACAATTCAACGTATTGCATGTGTCTTGCAAATGGGGGTGGAGAGGGTGGAGGAAGGGAGGTAGGGAGAAGAATGAAGAAAAATGGAAAAATAAAAGCCAAAGGAGGACACTGGCCATGATGCTGAAGACAGGGTTCACAGGCCAGTAAACAGTTGATGTCCTGAAGGCAGAGTGGACCAGGGAGTGGAGGCAGAAGGTGGAAAGGCTTACAGTTGAAGAAGGCAAACAGCCACCTGCATGGCCTCCATGACTCCACACTACAGGCACAACACACATGTGCATGTATGTGTTTAAATATGTGTGCGTATGCATGTCTCTATTCAAGGAAGGAAGAAAATCTTTATGCAAAAGAAGCAAATGATCCCCAAACAAACTGACATCAGGAACATAGGAAAAATGTCAATTTTCCACAGCATTCTCATCTGCAGCATTGTGCAATACTTGATTATCTGAATGACAGTTCTCAGCAATAAAAAGTTTAAAAATGTAACTACATACAAGAGGATTTGAATTTATATAGTATGTCTTAGAAAATTTTCTATTTAAAAGGCAAGAGTTAAATGCAAAGATTTAATGTTAAAAGTTTACTTGAAAAACTTTTAACATCATTAAAAGTTATCCATTAAAAAATGGGTCCTCCTACATACCAATCATAGACAAGCAGAGAGCTAAATCATGAGTGAACTTCCATTCACAATTGCTACAAATAAAATGAAATACCTTGGAATACAACTTTCAAGGGATGTGAAGGACCTCTCCAAGGAGAACTACAAACCACAGCTCAAGGAAATAAGAGAGGACACAAACAATTGGAAAAAAATCCTATGCTCACGGGTAGGAAGAATCACTATCGTGAAAACGGTCAAACTGCCCAAAGTAATTTATAGACTCAATGCTATCCCCATCAAGCTACCATTGACTTTCTTCACAGAATTAGAAAAAACTGCTTTAAATCTCATATGGAACCAAAAATAGCACATATAGCCAAGACAATTCAAAGCAAAAAGAACAAAGCTGGAGGCATCACGCTACCTGACTTCAAACTGTACTACAAGGCTACAGTAAGCAAACAGCATGGTACTGGTACCAAAACAGATATGTGGACCAATGGAACAGAACACAGATCCCAGAAATAACACCACACATATACAACCATTTGATCTTCGACAAACCTGACAAAAACAAGCAATGGGGAAAGATTCCCTATTTAATAAATGGTGCTGGGAAAACTGGCTAGCCATATGCAGAAAACTGGCTAGCCATATCCTTACACCTTATACAAAAATTAACTCAAGATGGATTAAAGACTGAAATGTAAAAATTGAAAACCATAAAAACCCTAGAAAAAAACCTAGGCAATACCATTCAGGGCATAGGCATGGGCCAAGACTCCATGGCTAAAACACCAAAAGCAATTGCAATAAAAGCCAAATTTGACAAATGGGATCTAATTAAACTCAAGAGCTTCCGTACGGCAAAAGAAACTATCATCAGAGTGTACAGGCAACCTACGGAATGGGAGAAAATTTTTACAATCTATCCATCTGACAAAGATACAAGGAACTTAAACAAATTTACAAGAGAAAAACAACCCCATCAAAGAGTAGGCAAAGGATATAACAGACACTTCTCAAAAGACATTTATGTAGCCAGCAAACACATGAAGAAAAGCTCATCATCACTGGTCATGAGAGAAATGCAAATCAAAAGCACAATGAGATACCATCTTATGCCAGTTAGAATGGTGATCATTAAAAAGTTAGAAAACAACAAATGCTGCAGAGGATGTGGAGAAATAAGAATGCTTTTATACTGTTGCTGGGAGTGTAAATTGGTTCAACCATTTGGAAGACACTGTGGCAATTCCTCAAGGATCTAGAACCAGAAATACCATTGACTCAGCAATCTCATTACTGCAATATACAATCCCAAAGGATTATAAATCATTCTACTATAAAGGCATATGCACATGTATGTTTATTTTAGCACTGTTCACAACAGCAAAGACTTGCAACCAACCCAAATGCCCATCAATGACAGACTGGATAAAGAAAATGTGGCACATATACACCATGGAATACTATGCAGCCATAAAAAAGAATGACTTCAGGTCCTCTGCAGGGACATGGATGAAGCTGGAAACTGGCATCCTCAGCAAATTAACACAGGGTCAGAAAACCAAACACCACACGTTCTCACTCATAGGTAAAAATTGAACAATGAGAACACATGGACACAGAGAGGGAAACATCACACACCGGGGCCTGTCGGGGGGTTAGACAAGGGGAGGGAGAGCATTAGGAAAAATACCTAATGCATGAGGGGCTTAAAACCTAGATGACTGGTTGATCGGTGCAGCAAACCACCATGGCACATGTATACCTATGTAACAAACCTGCACTTTCTGCACATGTATCCCAGAACTTAAAGTAAAATTTTTTTTTTTTAAATAATGGGTGATCTCCAATAATGTTGGAAAAGCTGCCTGATGCATTGGAGAGAAAAGAAGATGAAGAGGTGAAACACTAAGTGAGTCATGCTTGGTTCCTTCAAACACTAGCCATGAAACCTTAGTCTACTCACTTAACCTCTCTGACCCTGGAGTTCCTTCTACTGTAAGACTGGAACAAGAAAATCCATTTCATCCAATTCATAAGGCTTTTGTAAGGATGATTCATAAGGCTTTTGTAAGGATGAAATGATGTAATTATATATGTTCTTAACTACAAGGAATCACATAAAGGAAAGATGGTATTCTAAAATGCCATTCTGTAATTCTAATGCCTAGAGAAAGAAGTTTTTTGTCTTCCACAAATAGCATAGCTTTCCTTAATAATACTTGGGATTCTAGGAAGGATAAACTGTTCTTTGACATTTGGGTTGCAGCTTGTGTATAAGTGTCCAGAACTTCACTGTCTGGGCTGGCAGAGTAAATGGCCCCATCTAGCTCCCTGAAGAGCAATCTGGGACTGGGTAAAGCGGGCTGGGTCCTCATGCAAACAGCAACATCAGATGACCAGAATCTCATGGGAGGTCTGGACCCCATGACTGCACCTTCCTACATCTTGCTCCCTTCCTTTGTGCCGTGGCATGCATTTGCCCCTCACCTTCCTGTCCTCCCACATACTTCTTCATTTCTGTCCTCCAGGTCAATACCTGCTCCAGCTTTTTAAACCTTGGCACCACAAACAAGCATCTACCATCCCGTCTGGGCTCCCCAAATCCTCTGCTGTCATTTACTGACTCCTACATACTCTCTCCCATGGTTTGCCGTGGCCTGGAAGGCAGGACCCAGTTGTAAGTGGAAACATGGATGACAGGAGGTTTAAAAGTAGAGACAGTAGGCAGAGAACTTGATCTTGGCCACAACAGCAAAACTACCACTTAGATCTACACAAAACACTTTATGTCTGTTCATTGAGAACACTAGTGTCTCCTTTCTTGCTGTAAAGAAAATGCAAAGGATTAGAATATACTTTTCCTTATGAGAACTTAACTAGGAGATGAGGAAGTGAATGATAAAAGGAGGATCTCCCAATTTGCAGGTTATCCAAGTTTCTTGTCTGGCCTATTTTTCATGACCTATTTTATTCCTACTTTGCCTTCCAAAGGATGATCAAGACCAATTTCCCATGTACTAATCTTGAGCCTCATAAGAACACCAGGAATGTCACCCAGGAGGAGAGAAACAGTTTATTTTCACAGTGCCACCAAAGGACAGGGAGATAAAAGATTGTCAGAAATGGTCCTCTGTGATGGCCTCAGTGGCTGGGGCTTGTCACTAATTTTAGTAACCCTACCATTGATCAGAAGTATGCCAAAGTTTAAAACTTTTTGGAATAAAAAAAGAAGTTTATCAGTTTGTTGGCTTTCTAATTTATAGAAATTATCACCATTTTCATCATGTGGGTCTGGAAAAAATCTACATTTCTGGATTTACAAAGCAAGTGCAGAATTACCTGATTTTGTTGCTTAGCTGTGCTGGTCTATAGCCTATAACCTAGGTTTTCAATCATTTCACTTGAAAAGGAATAAATGAAAAGGAAAAGAAGGAAGGAAACAAATTGAGTGAATGAAAATATAGAGGAAAGGAGAGGAAGGAGGGGAAGGAAAGGAGAGGAGAGGAAAAGAGAAGAAAAGAAAGGAAAGAAGGAATAAATAAATTGACTGAATAACTGAAAATCTGCCAGCTCTTGAAACAGCCTTTGTCTCTTTCATGATGATGCCAAGAAGTCATTCAAAATGAAAATCACAGAACATGAACAAGACTCTCCAAGGAAGGACAGAGAAACACTAATTCTCTGTTTACCAGGCCATTGATGGAACAGGCGCTAGTGGTTAAGCTTTCCAAAGCATGTTCACACGCTGTCTAACTTGGTTCTGACAATAACCCTGAAAGGCGGGCAGAGCAGTTATGGTCATTTCCATCCTACAATGGAGGAAATGGAGGCTAAGGTCAGAAGGGCAATGAGCAATGGAGTCAAAAATAAACTGAGTAATAAATTAATAAACAACAACAAGAAATTTGGTAAAGTGAAGTAGGAAGAGAGAAATGAGGCATGAGCAAAAAAGGTTAAGAGATATGACCTGTTTGATGGAGAGGGAGGAAAACAACCTGGACAAAGCAGAGACCTCCGATTAACGGTGGGCCAAGAGAGGTAGTGGAGTTTGAGCTTAATTTTGAAACTCCACACAAAGCCACATTAAATTATTTTTTAACCACACTGAAACTACAGGTGAACTACAGTACAGACAACATCCGTGTGCTCTCTGTAATCTCTATGAAGCATCATGAACCGTTCCTTCGGCAACCCTCGGTACTATTATTAGTATTATTCCCATTTTATTGACAATGAAACTGAACTACAGAGGTTACATAAACTGCCCAAGACTGTGAAGGTAATAAGGGGCACAACTGGTATTTGAAGGAAGCAGGCTGGATTCAGAGTTCATGCTCTTAACCACTGCAATATATTATTATTCTCAACAAAACGAAGATTCTTCTAGAAGTGTCTTTTAGCAGGCCTCCTACGCTATACCTTGTCAATTACTGAAAGAGTCTATTCTCATGAGAAATAACAACAAAGACAACTAGAGTTGTGGAATTTTTTACTTGCCTGTTCAGTGGAATCCATAAAGAGCCAGCACATACGTTGTTAAAAGTGGAATGTCTAACATCTGAAATCTTCAGAGGCTTCAAATTATATGCATACAACAATAAAACCTGTAAGAAAAATAAAAGGGATATAAAATGCGACATCAAAATTCGAGTTTATCTAAAAAAATACAGCATTAGTTCACAAAATAATACCACTGTATTTTAAAAAATATTTGTTTAGAAGAGAAAAATTGGGATTTCAACTCACCCAAAAGAGAAATGATGTGAACCAAAATTGTACAAAGGTTGTAGGATAAAAATAAATACTATTTCGTAACAATATTACATTATTTTTGAAGAGCGACATTTTGTACTGCAATTAAGTGTATATTTCAGCCTTTGAAGGCCCTCTACAGTAAGTACTAAACATACATGCGGTAAACATCCAACTTTGTTCCTTGTTACTTCTCAACATGAACTGCTCCCATAGGTGGGCATAGTCACTTCTATGCATTCACTTATGCTGTTCCCTTCCTCTTCTCTCCATTTATCCAATCCACACGCAACTTTCTAGCCACCACACCTAAGGTGAAACTTCCCTTGATGATTCATGCTCTAGTAATTTCCCTGTTGTTTGGATTCTGACAATTCTTAGAGTCGGTTGCATATGATATAGCACCTACTTAGTCATGGATTTGTAGCGTTTGAGATTCACAGAACCTTAGAGATAATCTGGTCTAATTCCCTCATTTTAGATATAAGAAAGCTACTGCCCAGAGCTGCCCATCAAAACTGAGTAATTAGGCGTATTGGGGCTCAGAGAACAGAGCTTCAAAGTAACAAAGGAAATTACTTTAGCCTTAGAAGCTACCTCGAAACCAAGACTTTTTTAACCCAGCACAGGTAGGGACTCTCTCAGGAGGTTCCCATACCTGCCTAAGAAAATTTCTTCCAAAAGAAGTACAATAGTCTTGAAACTCCCTTTCTAGGAATCTCATTAAATAACTGTTAAGCATGCTCTGAATGAAGAGACCACCTAAACAGGCTTTGTGTCAGCAACATGGCCATTTATTCACTTGGGTGGTATCGGGATGAGTCTGAAAAGACAGTCAGCAGAGGATGGTGGGATAGGAGCTAGTTTTACAGGTTTGGGGTGGGTAGTGGAAAGTTACAGTTTAGGCTGGTTTTGCAAGCCGGGGGTATTGCTGGGCGGGTGTGTGTGTCATAAGGTCCAGGGTCACAAGGTTGGCTTATCAATTGAGGCAGGAATGGTTGAGGCAGGAGCAACAGCGGTATGTTGCAAGGTTGGTTAATCATGGACTGCAGGAGCTAGCTATTCTTTTGTGGTTTTCCTGTTACTTCAGACTTTCTGGCTCCTGGAGGCCATCTGGAGTTGTGTGGGTCACGGGAGTCACCACGGCTTGACTATGGTGTAGTCCATGGTGCAGTCAGTTTAAAGGACCTTACAATAACCAAGAAAGATTAAGCACCAAAGAAGAAAAAAAGACTAAAATTCATCACCATGACCACACAGACTTTTCGTCTAATCTCCTGAGGGCAGCTTGAATAGATTGCCTGGGAGACTCTACCTGCATAATCAGACAACCCTTACTTGCAGTGTTGTGCTACCCCTCTTCTTCCCATAACTTGCCCACAAGCTATTATCTGTTCTTGGTCCTACTCAAACAGAATCATTTAAAAACTATTGTCTGCCTTTTGGGTCCATTCAGTTCCCCTAAAAATCATTGATGACCCCTCAAAATTGCCCATATTCCCAATTTCCCTCTCCCTGAAGATACCTAAAGAAGGGTATATAAACTTCTGAATCTCTCTGGGTAATTGCATAATCAACCTTTTGTTATTTTTCTGTGCTTATACACATTACTAAATTTGTATGCTTTTTCTCCTGCTAATCTATTGTCATTATTATTCTGGTAGACGTTACACCCAAATCTTTAGAAAGTGAGGGAAAAACTCTACACCCCTAAAGGCATATGCCTTTAACTCTGTTTCCTCACAAAGTAAACTAAGTTAAGAGTAAAGGTATTTTTCAAAGGCGTAAGTCCACAAGGACAGAAAGTACTCAAGAGGAGATGAAGCAGACAAAAGACATTAGCAACACTATGAAGGACAGAAAGCACCTGGAAGAACAAAACTGACTCAGCAGAGAGGAAAGGCTGTGTCCTAAGCACTTTCAGAGGGATTTCAACAACAAGCATGACTGAGAACCCTGAGAAACTCAGGGCCTGGAGGGTGAGGTACCTTTAAAGGCAGGAGTGGGTGGTACTGCAAACAGGGAGTAACATTAGACAACCTCCCTCCCATCTGGGTGGGTGCAACCTGGAGACTCCTTCTTTCCCTTGCCTCCTCTCTCAGCTGAACTTCCATTTTGCTCTCTGCTGTCATTAAATCAGAGGATCTATGCTGAGGGACATTAGGTACAGGGGTCAGGTGCTTTATTAAAAACATTGGAATTAAGTGAAAGTCTGCATTCTGAATGAGAATGTAGTAAATTAGGCAGGAGTCTAAGAGAATTGTCTTTGGGGAAACTGACATGTCAAAGAGAAAAGACCTACAGATACTGAAATTTCAGCATCTTCCAGTGAAACTACTGGCTCCTTCTTCAGTTATCCTATAATGAGGCCCATAAATCAATGTCTAACCCAATATGTTTTTTAGTGCTTTGCTTCAAACATAAATGGACAGTCAAGAATCACTAGACAGGATATGAAAGGCAAAAACTAAAACTAACAGCAGGGAACTTCCAGAATAAGAGACAAGACAAAGATCAGGAGAAAACTCCAATGAAACTGTAATTAATATCCTCAGAGAAAGACAATATTGCATCTGTGAAACAAGAAGAGGGTACTATCAAAATGGGACAATCAGAGAACAAGGCAGACAACTTAAAAATAAAAATATGATCAAAACAACTAAATAATCAATAAAAGATTCAAAATATAAAGTTGACTCCATCTCCCCAAAAGTAAAACCTAAATTTAAAAACATAGATAATAGGGGAGAAAAGATGAGAAAAGTAAATACTTAATCCAATGGGTTCAATATCTGCATAATAGAAATTCCAAAAGGTACTAAGATAATCAGAGGGAGGAAATTATTAAATAAACAAATTTCCATGAACCGGAGAATATTACTTTCCATTTTGAAAGGGCCACCCTAAATATCCAGCATAGCAGATGAAAGACTCACACCAATGTGCATCATGGAATTTCAGTGCATACAGGACAGGGGGAAGATTCTGAGAGCTACCAGAGTCACAAGAAAAGAATAAGGAATCAGAATGGGATCAGACTTCTCAACAGCAATGCGAGATTGCCAGAGACAGTGGAATAATGCCCTTACAACTTCAGGGAAAATAACTGTCAGCCTAGAATTTTATGCCAAGAAAACAATAAATTAGGCATTAAAATAAAGACCTTTTGTTAGACATTCAAGGTTTTGTGTTTTTTTTGTTTTGTTTTGTTTTGTTTTGAGTCGGAGTTTCGCTCTTGTTACCCAGGCTGGAGGGCAATGGTGCAATCTCGGCTCACCGCAGCCTCCGCCTCCTGGGTTCAGGCAATTCTCCTGCCTCAGCCTCCTGAGTAGCTGGGATTACAGGCACGCGCCACCATGCCCAGATAATGTTTTGTATTTTTAGTAGAGACGGGGTTTCACCATTTTGACCAGGATGGTCTCGATCTCTTGACCTCGTGATCCACCCGCCTCGGCCTCCCAAAGTGCTGGGATTACAGGCGTGAGCCAACATGCCCGGCCTGACATTCAAGGTCTTTTTACCTCCTAGGTAATCTCAGTTAGTTTGCTGTAGCCCTGTTAGCATATAAGGGGAATGTAGTCATGATATTGGCCCTTAGCCAAACCTGAATAAAATGTGTTAACTAGTAATTAATGCAGTCCTGTTCTGGGGTCTGAAACATACCAGGGAGCAGCCTGTAACATGTGGTCTGCATTTTTATAGAAAACACGCATACTGATGATTGGCATCTGGATCTACCAGTGAGGAAAGAGACCCAAGCTTCTAGGATCACCTCCCCCTTCACTTCCACACTGTATTTCAGTAGAAGAAAAGGCTGGTCAACCAGCACCTCCTTAATCATCTCCCAATAGATAGCAGGCATAGTATGGGGGAACCTTTCAGGAAGGCACTGTTTTTACTTAAGCAAGATCAAACCCCTACCCCATGCCTACTCCATGGATCAAGACCCTTTCACATGTAATTTCTAAAACTGTAAACCCAAGACCCTTTTACATGTAATTCCTAAGGCTGTAAACCCAAGACCCTTCCACGTGTAGTATCTAGAGTTGTAAGCTTATATAAAGGCAGAGCTTCTCTTTGTTAGATGAGCTTGGCTGTTAGACAACTATGTCGCCTTGCTCCCGGCCGAATAGATCACTCCTTCCTTCCTAGTTTGGTGTCTGAGAGGTCTATTTCTCATGGCTGTTCCTGCTTCATTTTGGTTCCCTGACCAGGAAGTGAGTTTCGGTTGGCAGACGGCCAGCAAAGCCTCTCAGGTGGTTTACCTAGCCCTTCAGAGCATCCCTGTGGGAGGGGGTGGGTGGATTGCACCCACTTAGGTGATGCAATTCCTGAGAGCACTCCTGGGCTGGTATTGGCCTGGAGGAAAGCGTCACCAGAGCAGAGCTGGGAAGCCCCCGCAGTGTGGATCCAGCCAGCGGCTGAACACTGAGAAAGAATGGGTACTTGGAATGTCCGGACAACAGAAACATGGTAGGATTGACCCCGGGAAACTTGCCCACCTCCTTTAGATGGAAGCATGGCCTGATCACCCACATGTGCTGGATTTGGCACTCCTGAACTTGGCTCTCTTTCTCTCTCTCTCCTTTGGCAACTAACCTTAGAAGTTCTGCTTATGGTTTCGATTTGGGTGGAGGAAGGAGAGCGATTGTGTGAGTGAATAGAGGGGTCCAACTGGACTCATCGGCCATGAAATGCGGGAGCATCAGGCCCATTAGAGGGGGTCTTACACTCCGAGTGACATGTGGGGCTGGTTGGAATTAAAGACGACCACTTAAGGCTAAATGGAGGAGCTCTCGCAATCTAGGCATGGTGAGAGGATTAATGATCTCTCTTATGCCAAGTGGCATCGGAAATACTCAGAAAGAAATGCGATTATACCAGCCTGAAGCAAATGTGAATCGACAGTGTGTAGTGCTTCTTGCGGGTGGGAACTGCTGTGGGCAGAGTAACACTCTCTTAACTGTGAGCACTGTTTTTTGATGTGTAAGCATGGGTCACACTCATAGCAAGCCCATTCCTTTAGGGACCATGCTGAAAAATGTCAAGAAGGGATTTAGTGGAGACTATGGAGTAACTATGACACCAGGGAAGCTAAGAACTTTATGTGAGGTAGATTGGCCAGCATTTGGAGTGGGTTGTCCCTCAGAGGGGACCTTGAGGTGGCGAAGGGACAGACAGCAAGGAAAAACCCAAACCCAACTCCACCTGCCAAGAGACAAGGACTCCCAAGGTCCTGGCAGATTCAGTAACAGAGACGTGGACTCCCAAGGTCCTGGCAGATTCAGTGGCAGAGACACTGACTCCTAAGATCCTGGCAGATCCGATAGTAGAAGAGTTTTTGCCAATAATTCTCCCTCCTCCTCAAGGACTCCCTGCATCTGGGCCTGAAGCCTCAGCGCCCCCACCAGAATTGCACACCCCAAAACCACCCAGAGTAGACGAAAGAGAAAGCAGAGGAACTCCTACCATTGCTGCCTGCTTCCGAGATAAACTCCCTCTCTGGCAGCCTGTCTACAACCCAAGGCAGGGGTACAGACGCCTTTAAGAGAGGAGAGGTATACAGGAGTGGATGAGGATGGCCACATGGTAGAAAGGTGGGTTTTCATGTACCTGGCGTTCACCTCGGCTGATCTTATCAACTGGAAAAATAACAACCTGTCTTATACTGAGAAGCCACAAGCTCTCATTAACCTACTGCAAACCATTATTCAGACTCAAACCTCACTTGGGCTGATAGCTACCAGCAGCTTATGTATCTTTTTAACACAGATAAAAGGTGGAGAGTACTCCAAGCCACTTCTAAATGGCTGGAGGAGCATGTTCCTGCAGATTACCAGAACCCCCAAGAGTATGTCAGGGTCCAGTTACCGGGGACTGACCCCCAGTGGGATCCAAACACCCTGGAGGGCATGCAGAGGCTAATCCGGTACAGAGAAGACTTGCTGGGAGGATTTAAAAAAGGAGCCCAGTAGGCTACAAACATGAAAAAAGTCTCTGAGGTTACTCAAGGAAAAGAGGAAAGCCCCATCCAATTTTATGAAAGGCTGTGTGAAGCCTATCATTGGTATACTCCTTTGGATCCTGAGAGCCCTGAAAACCAACACATGACAAATATGACATTAGTCAGTCAGTGTGCAGAAGACATTAGAAGAAAATTGCAGACACAGGCAGGATTTGTGGGCATGAATACTCAGTTTCTGGAAATAGCTAACCAGGTGTTTGTGAACCGAGAAGCCGTAGAGAAAGTGGCAGAGAAAAACAAGCGTCAGTCTCGATGAAATGCTGACTTGATAGCTCCCGCTATTAAAGGAGCACCCCCAAGACGGCAGGAAAAAGGGGGCCCCTGGACAGCCACCCATTCTGCTTGCCCACACCTGCAACGTGACCAGTGTGCTTACTGCAGGGAGCTGGGACATTGGAAGGAAAAGTGCCCCCAGTTAACAGGAGAACAGGGCGATCCTAAGCATGAGGATTCAGACAAAAGTGGAGGAGCTCTGCTCAGTCTAATGGAAGGGCCATGGGACTGAAGGGGGCTGGGCTTATATGCCCCCAAAGAGCCCAGGGTCTGGATAACAGTCCGTAACTCCCCATCAAAGAAAACAACTAATATTGGTGTGAGGGAATGTGTTCTCTTTCCAGGTCCACAAAGGGGCGTAGTTTTAAGGGCAAGAATTTCCCAGTGCCATGCCACCTCCCATCTCTCTCCATCCGGGAGATTTTACAGTTTATGTTTGAATTTCGTGGGCCGCAGGAAGAAACTAAGAGTCAGTCACTCCTGCAGAAGTTCTAAGGAATGCCTTTCATTAGCCAAGAGTGTTAGAGAAGGTGGGGGTTCCTCCCAGGTTAAAAGTTCCCTTCTTCCACACCCCTTCAGACTCCATGTTTGGATCCCCTTCCAAGAACACTCCCTTCGTGGAAGCCTGTCTTCCCCTCCTAAACTCCATCTCTATTCCCTTCCACTCAGTGTGGAGGCTGCTTTCCTCTCCTGGATTCCATCTTTCTGGATTCTCTCACTCAGTGTGAGAATTAGCTGTTTCTCTCTCTCTCTCTCTCTCTCTAAATAAATCACTTTCTACAAACACTTCTGAGTCTGGCATTTACTGCGCACTGCACTGTGGTCCCCTTTCTCATTCTTGAGAGGGCAGGAGGCCAAGAACCTGGAGAAACATCCTCTCAGGGGAGCTAAGGACACTCTGAACCCCAATATTACAGTTGGAGCTACTGGGGTGTTAGAAAAACAGTCTTTCTGCTTGCTCCAGACCTGTTGGGTGGGAGGCCCTGAAGTCACACGTCAGTTCTTGTACTTGCCGGACTGTCCCTACCCTACTCCTCAGGAAAAACTTGTTATGCAAATTAAGAGCTACAACTATCACAGTCAATAATAAGAACTCCCTGCAGCTAAAACTGCCTCAGGCAGAGATTATCAGGGCTCTCACAGTCCCTGGGGAGGAGGAGTGGAGCCCCTCCCTAACCAGGGACTGAAGACTGCAGGCCAGTTCAGCACTTGCGTTTGGTTAATCAGACTACAATGACTTTGCACCCACTTGCACCCAACTCGTGCACGTACTTGAGATTATTGCCAGCGGAGGATAGCTGGTCACTTGATTGGATTTAAAGAATATTTCTTTAGCATTGGACTGGCCTCAGGGGGTCAGAAACTATTTGTGTTTCAATGGGAACCAGGAACAGGTGTGACCACCCAGTACACCTGGACCCAGCTTCCCAGGGGTTCAAGAACTTTCTCACCATCTTTGGGGAGGCACTAGCCCAGGACCCCCCCCCACCCCCAGAATTTTCTTGCTAAGGACTTAGGCTGCATGCTGCTCCAATATGTTGGTGACCTTTTATGGGGACACCACAAGGCAATTGGGTGCGCTAAAGAAACAGATGCCTTACTTCAGCACCTGGAGGACTGTGGGTATAAAGTATCTAAAAAGGGAGCCCAGATTTGCCAACAGCAAGTGTGATATTTGGGGTTCATCACCCGGCAGGGAGAGTGCAGTCTAGAAGCAGAGAGGAAACAAGTTATTTGCAACCTGCCAGAACCCGAAACTAAGAGGCAGGCAAGAGAGTTCCTGTGAGCCATGGGTTTCTGTAAATTGTGGATTCCAAACTTTGCAGTGCTGGCCAAACCCTTACACAAAGTATCAAAGTGGGGAGGAGACAAGGAACCCTTTGAATGCGGATCCCAGCAGCTGCAGGAACTGAAAGTGAAACTTTTCTCAGCCCTGGCTTGGGGGCTACCCAATTTAACAAAGCCTCTCATGCTGTTTGTGTCAGAAGGAGGAAAAAAAAAATGACAATTGAAGTTTTAACATCAACTCTGGGGCAAAATTTAAATATCAAAGCACCCCACACAGTAGTGACTCTAATGAATACTAAAGGACTTCACTGGTTAACAAATGCTAGGCCAACCAAATACCTGAGCCTGCTAAAGTGAAAAATCCCCTCATCACCACTGAGGTCTGTGCACTAAAACCCTGCCACTTTACCCCGGGTGTCAGAAGGCCCATGAAGCAACCCGTGTGCTGCTTCGAGATCTCATCCCTAGGTTTGGACTGCCACTGCGCATCGGATCAGACAACAGACCAGCATTTGTAGTGGATTTGGTCTGGAAAACAGCAATGGCCTTGGGTATTACTTGGAAACTGCACGCTGCCTACCAACCTCAGAGTTCCGGAAAGGTGGACAGAATGAACTGGACCATCAAAAACAGCTTATGGAAAATGTTGTCAGGAAACAGGATTAAAGTGGGTGTAGGCACTTCCCTTGGTGCTATTCAAAATTAGATGCACTCCCTCTAAGAAGACAGAATATTCCCCTTATGAAGTCTTATATCATAGGCCCCCTCCCATATTGCAGGCACTCCCGGGAACTCCTCAGGAGTAGGGAAAGACTAGGACAACAGTTACAAACTCTAGGGAAGATCACTCAGGATATTTCAACCTGGGTAAATGAGAGATGTCCTGTAAGCTTATTCTCCCCAGTTCACCCTTTCTCACCAGATCATTGCATGTGGATAAAGGACTGGAATGTAGCCCCTCTGAAGCCAAGATAGAAAGGACCCCAGACCGTGATCCTGACCACTCCCACAGCCGTAAAGGTAGAGGGAATCCCAGCCGGGATCCACCAGAGCTGCATGAAACCAGCGGCAGCTGAAACTTGGGAAGCTAGACCAGACCCAGACAACAGCTGCAGAATCACCTTAAGAAGGACAGACAACAAGCCCTGCTCCAGCCACATCCCAGAAGCTGCCTGTTCCACGCATGGCCGAAGCATGAGGAAGTTCATCACAGAACTCACTCTTCTTAATGTTTGGACTTGTACAGTAAGAATGCTCTCAGTATGTACACCAGGTTACTAAGGTAGGGCGTAAAGTTACTGCCATTCTTTCATTCTACAGTTATTATGAATGTACAGGGACACTGAAGGGAACCTGCTTATATAATGGTACTCAGTATAAGGTGTGTGATCCAGGGGATGGACAGACCGATGTCTGCTACGATTCATCAAAGCCTCCTACGCATACGACTTTTGAAATTAAACTCCAAACAGGGCGAGAGAACACCCCTACTAAGTCAATAGCTAAAATAGAGGAGAAGGGAAGCCCAAAGCAGGTTACCCTAAGGTTTGATGCCTGTGCAGCCATCAATGCCTATCATTCCAGTAGGGGGCGCTATGGTCCCCTCGGATGGGAACAAAGTTACACAAAAGAGCGTTAAGTATATCTGCCAGAAAACTAGCTGGTGCAGTAAATGGATTTTTTGGGTCATGCGTCATCTGGGCCACTTGTAAAAATAATACAAATAATCCCGTTCATCTTGTAAAAGGGAGAGACACCATTCCAGGGAGTAATGTCCCCTGTGACTCAGGACATTGTAACCCAGTAGAATTAATAATCACAAACCCCCAAGACCCTAAATGTGAAAAAGGGGAGAGTGTAATGCTAGGAATTGATGGGAAAGGGCTTGACCCTGGAGTCAGTACCCAGATTCAGGGAAAAATCCAGAAACGCTCAGCCCAGCCAGTGTGCCAGCCCTTCTATAATATATTAAGTAAGCTAGTGCTGAAACTTCCAAAAAAGACAAAGAACTTGTTCCTCCAACTTGCTAAAAATGTAGCTCATTCGCTTAATGTCACTTCTTGCTATGTATGTGGGGGAATTACCATGGGTAATAGGTGGCCATGGGAAGCCCATGAGCCCCTGTCCCTGACCTGACCTCAGTTCAAAAGATTCAAACCAACAGTTTCTGGGTTTTAAAGGTTTCAATTATTGGACAATGCTGTTTGGCTAAAGAAGGAACAGGCTTCACTGTTCCAGTAGGAAAGCTTAGCTGCTTAGGGCAGTGACAGTATAACGGAACAGTGGGCACTGTAACCTAGTGGAGCTCAAACTATACAGAAAAGAACCCCCTCCTAAAATTTCCAAAATTATAGGATGCTTGGAATCATCCTGAGTACCACAGAGACTGGACATCCCCGCCTGCGTTGTGCTGGATATGCAGACATACAGCACACGTACAGCTGCTTGAAAGATGGATAGGTAGCTGTGTCATAGGCATCATTAAGCCTTCCTTTTTCCTATTGTCTGCCAAGACAGGTGGGCTGTTAAGACATCCAGTCTACTCCGCCCGGGAGAAAAGAAGTCTAAAGATAGGTAAATGGGAAAATAATAAGTGGCCATCGGAAAGAATTATTGGGTACTATGGGCCGACCACATGGGCAGAGAATGGCTCATGGGGACACCAGTCTCCTACCTATATGCTCAATCAGATCATCCGGTTGCAGGCAGCCTTGGAAATACTTGTCAATGAAATGGGCAAAGCTCTGTGCATTTTGGCCAGACAAGAAACTCTAATGAGAAATGTGGTTTATTAGAACCGGCTGGCCATAGATTATTTGCTAGCAGCTTAAGGAGGAGTCTTTAAAAAATTTAAACTAACTGACTGCTGCCTACACATAGACAACCAGGCTCATGCAGTTAAGAACATAACCAAACTAGCACACGTACCTGGGCAGGTATGGCACAAATTCAACCCTGAGTTCTTGTTTAAAGGTTGGTTCTCAGCCTTGGGAGAATTAAAAACCCTCATCACAAGTGGTAAAGGTTGGTCCTCAGACTTGGGAGAATTAAAAACCCTCATCATAAGTGTGGTAACAATAGTAGGTGTTTGTTTGCTACTCCCCCATTTTCCTCCTTCTAAATGGCTAAGAAATTCTTTTTTTTTTTTTTTCTTGAGACGGAGTTTCACTCTTGTTACCCAGGCTGGAGTGCAATGGCGCGATCTCGGCTCACCGCAACCTCCGCCTCCTGGGTTCAGGCAATTCTCCTGCCTCAGCCTCCTTAGTAGCTGGGATTACAGGCACGTGCCACCATGCCCAGCTAATTTTTTGTATTTTTTTAGTAGAGACGGGGTTTCACCATGTTGACCAGGATGGTCTCGATCTCTTGACCTCGTGATCCACCCGCCTCGGCCTCCCAAAGTGCTGGGATTACAGGCTTGAGCCACCGCGCCCGGCCTAGAAATTCTTTACTGCTGTAATAGACCAGAGAACCACATCACAAATGTTTTATATCCATTATTGTCAATCAGTTTCTTCAGAGGATCATGAAAATAAGAATAAAGAGTGAGAACTCTCACTAATGTTTTAGGAGAGGTTCTCAAAGTGGGGAATGAGGAAAGAGATCCAAGCATCTAGGATCATCTTCCCCTTGACCTCCATACTGTATTTCAATAGAAGAAAAGGCTGGCCAACTGGTGCCTCCTTAATCACCTTCCTATAGATAGCAGGCATAGTATGGGGGAATCTTTCAGGAAGGCACTGTTGTTACTTAAACAAGATCAAACCCCAACCTCACACCTACTCCATGGATCAAGACCCTTTCACATGTAATTTCTAAGGCTATAAACCCAAGACCCTTTCACGTGTAGTATCTAGAGTTGTAAGCTTATATAAAGGCAGCGCTTCTCTTTGTTAGACGAGCTCGGCTGTTAGACAAGTATGTTGCCTTGCTCCCAGCCGAATAGATCACTCCTTCCTTCCTAGTTCAGTGTCTGAGAGGTCTGTTTCTCACAGCCGCTCCTGCTTCACTGTTATCATCACTTCTGTTATTGAGTCTGGGCCCACACATGTTTTTGACTATATGCACAGAAATATAAAAGACTCCTCGGATAGGAGAGCAGCTTGAGACCAAGATATGCCTTATTTTGGTGGTTTATAATCTATAAATAAACTGTGTCCTGTGAAACTGAGACCCTAGAAGGTGCCCCTGGATCTCTTGAGTCTCTTGAATGATTACCTGTGCTTTCTTTATCCTTCCATGCCTTATCCTTTACTAAAGCCTTTCATAAATACACTTTGTTAAGTCTCATGAGTACTTTGAAAAATTAGAACCTTAATACACCCTTTTTCAGGAAGCTGGACAATGTGTTCTTCTGACACAAGAGAGCAACTCAAGATAGAAACAGGAGACCCAGGGAACCCAACTTAGAGAGAGGGGAAGGAATTCTCAGGAGGGTGATGGCTGGGACTGTTAAGATGACAGTTGAGCCATAAGAGCAATCAGCGTGGAGCATGACTCTGAAGAAGAAAAAAACAATGGAACTGAAAGTAAGCTGATGAGTTTGACCAAATAGAAAGATTGTATAGTTCTTAGAAAGTTTGGGAAGAATTAGAGGTTCCAAAATAAACAAAAATAAGAAAAAATGATTGATTCTAAGTTAAAGCAACTTCTTTCTTCAGGAAAGAAGGCAGAAATAAAAAAAGCAGTAACCTATGTGGCTCCGTTGAATGATACTTACACAGTCATAATGCAAACACAGACTATGGGCAAGTCGACATGCCTCTGGCTTCCTCATTTGTGAAATGGAGATGTGTAATCCCCATTCCATGAATCGCTGTGTGGACTCAATGAGTCCATGTGAAGTGCTTAGAGCAATAATAATGAGGATTATTATTGCAGTTTTTAGCTCATGATCACTCCTGGCTCCTTACCCTTCCTTGGTGCCTCATTCGTCATATTCTCTTAGATCTGCTGCTAATTCCAAGCTGACTTCCCGTTATATCTCCCAGTCAGTCCTTGTCTAATCCACTAATTCTTAGTTCTATTCCCAACTTGCCTTCACTCTTCAAGGGACAGGTTTCACCCTATGTCACCTTTATACTTCAGAGTGAATTCAGGAGGAGACAATAAACTCATGAAGGAATTTTCAATGCTCCCTTACTCACTTCTGCAAAGACTAGTTTTTCAATGGCAAAGAAGTGATATGGGTATGAAAAACACTGAGAGCTATTGTATTAAAAATGGGTGTTATGTTTAGAATCCCTTATTGCCCAGGAAGGAGTGAAAGAAGAGTTCTCTTTTACTAGACGGAGTTGATTTCCTGACTTCCTCATCTTTGTATATTAATCGCATAACGGAATGCCTGTCATGTGGTATGTACTCAGTAACTGTTTTATTAATTAGTAAGCAGCTAAATTATATGTGTTTGTAAAGAAATCAATAGTAGGGATGAGAAGAATTTGATTCTCCTTCCTATTTTTGTCACTAATGAGTTGTGGCATTGGTCAAGTCACTTTACCCACATGGGACCTTGCTTCCTCATCTGTAATATGTGAGCATTGAATAGATGTTCTCTTAGTTTCTTTTCAGTTCTGAACTTTGCCTTAGGTGGTACCAAGAGAAGTCAGAGAAGGTTTCCAATGGAACCTACTATATGACGCGGTAATGGAGAATCACCATTAGAACTGTAAGCTGCATTAGTAGCAATGGTCCAGACCAGTGCTTCTAAAACTTGAATGTGCATAATAATACTTGGGAGATACTATTAAAATGCATATTCTGACTCAGTGGGCCTGGATTGAGATTCAACATTTCTAATGAGCTTCCAGGGGATGCTAATGCTGCTGGTTCTCAGGCACACTTTGAGTCACAACAGTCATTTCAAATGTCAGTCCCTATCTCCCTTAGACAGCTTTTCCCTTCCCAAGCTCCTTGAAGCTGGATATTATTTTGGGCCCCATCTGAAGGACCAGGCTCTAGCTAATCACATGGTCAACCAGGCCCAGAATCCAGCGCATCTCAGAGGTAATCCTTGGGACTCTGCATGATCCCTGAGTTACAGTACTTCTAACATCTAAGTTGATCATTGGGCTTCTGCTTTTATTATGACTTGGTAGTTTTCCCAGGAACCCTAACTCTTCCTTCAGTATCCTGCTAGGACTGAGCTTGACTTAAAAGCACAGCTTGTTTGTTTGGGGACCTGAAACAGATTCTTTTATTGTGGATATGAAGTCTTCCAGAAAAGAACACTAGGTCCACATCTCTCGTTAGACTGGCTGGATTCCTGCACTAAATAAACATACCTCAAAAAACCATTTTAGTTCTATTCAGGTTTGTGTTTTCACTTGGCAGAGTCTTGTTCTTCAGTGCTGTGCTTGCTCAGACTTCCTGCACTTGATCATCCTTATCCATCTGAGTCTTCCATGGCCTTTGAATACTTTGCCTTGGACTGTCCAGCTGCACTCAATAAAACAGTCTTTTAATTAAAGTTTGGCAAAGTTTGGGCTTTTAGAGTACTCATCACCTGAATAGTGAACATGTACCCAATAGGTGGTTTTTCAACCCTCACCCCTCTCCCACCCTCCCACTCTTTGTAGTTTCCAATGTCTGTTATTCCACTGTGCATGTCCATGTGTACTCTTAGTTTTAGCTTCCAATTCTAAGTGAGAACATGTGGTACTTGGCTGAGTTATTTTAGTTAGGATAATGACCTCCAGTTACATCCATATTACTACAAAAGATATGATTCGTTGTTTTTTATGGCTGAGTAGTTCTTTATCCAGTCCTCTGTTGATGGACACTTCGGTTGATTCCATATCTTTGCTATTGTATAGTGCTGCAATAAACATACGAGTGTAGGTATCTTTTTGATGTAATGATTTATCTCTCTTTGGAAATACACCCAGTCATGGAACTGCTGAGTCGAATGGTGGTTCAATTTTTAGTTACTTGAGAATCTCCCTACTTTTTTCCATAAAGGTTGTACTAATTTACACAACCATCAACCGTGTATAAAAGTATTCCATTTTCTTCACATTCTTGTCAATACCTATTGTTTTATGACTTTTTAATAATAGTCATTCTGACTGGTATAAGATGATATCTTGTTGTCATTTTAATTTTCATTTCTCTGATTAGTGATGTTGAGCACTTTTTTACATGTTTGTTGGAAACTTGCATATCTTCTTTTGGAAAATGTCTGTTCATGTTCCTGTCCACTTTTTCATGGTAGTGTTTTATTTTCTTGTTGAGCTGCTTGAGTTTCTTGTAGATTCTAGATACTAGATCTTTGTTAGATACATAGTTTGCAATTTTGTTTTCCATTCTGCAAGTTGTCTGTTTACTCTATTGACTACTTCCTTTGCTGTGTAGCTTTTTAGTTTAATTAAGTCCCATTTATCTATTTTTTGTTATTGTTGCATTTGATTTTGAGGACTTCGTCATAAATTGCCTAGGTCAATATCCAGAAAAATTTTTTAGGTTTTCTTCTAGAATTTTTTTATAGTTTCAGGTCTTATGTTTAGGTTGTTAATCCATCTTAGGTTATGTATCTGGTGCTATGTATGGGTCTAGTTTCATTCGTCTGCAAATGGCTATCCAATTTTCCCAGCATCATTTATTAAACAGGGTGTTCTTTCCTCAGTGTATATTTTTGTTGGCTTTGTCAAAGACCAGTTGGTTAAAGGTATATGGCTTTATTTCTGGGCTCTCTATTCTTTTCACTGATGTACGTGTCTGTTTTTTTATACCAGTACCATGTTGTTTTGGTTACTATAACCTTGTAGCATAATTTGAAGTGAGGTAATGTGATGTCTCCAGCTTTGTTCTTTTGGCTTAGAATTGCTTTGGCTATTCTAGCTCTTTATTTATTCCATATGAATTTTAGGATTGTTTTTCTAATTCTGTGAAATATGTTGAACCTGTAGATTGCTTTGGGCATATGGTCATTTTAATAATACTGATGCTTCCAAACCATGAACATGCAATGCTTTTCCATGTTTGTGTCATCTACACTTTCTTTCATCAGTGTTTTATAACTCTCTTTTTAGAGATCTTTCATGTCCTTGGTTAAATTCCTAGGTATTGTTTTTTATAGTTATTACAAATGTTATTGCCTTCTTGATTTGGTC